TCTCCTGGCCTCTTTTCCAAGTCAGGATGGGTCCGTGGATGGGGCAGTTCCAAGAGTGGGAGGGGAAATGGTGTTAGAGGGATGGATCAGGGGAAATGGGAAATGGAAGGGCAAGGGGAAGGGGAAAATAGAAGAGGGAAGGCGCTCGAGGAGGTGGAGATGAAATAGAAATTGGAGCGGGCTCGGAAATGGACAAGGTGAAGCAGGATGAGAAGTTGAACAGCAATGAGAACGACGAGGAGGAGGAGACCGAGGGGAAGAAGAAAACGAAGAAGGAAAAGTACCATGGGAAGAGAACACAGAAATAGAAGGTGGAGAAGGAGAAGGAGGAGAAGGAGAAAGAGGAAAAGAGGAAGGACAAGGACAAGAGAAAAGAGGAGAAGAAAAGACAAATTAGAAACAAGGAGAGGGAAAAATACAACGAATGAAGGCTAAGACTTAGGACAAGAAGAGGAGTTGATGACAAGGACATTCAATGTACAGGGAATGGTGAGGGGATGTCTCACTCTGATTTCTGTCCAAGGTGCTGAAGCAGAGCCATGACGGCACAGGGGGCTGCAGCTCTGACAGCCTCTGGGCCGGCATGGCTCCCGGCTCCGGGGACAGCCCCACTCACTGCCAGCACGGCTGCAGGTGGGTAAAAGCCCCTGGTGCCATGGGCTGCAAGCTGGGGCATCTGTCTGTCTTCAGGCAGAGTGCTTGGAGCTCCTTGTCTTTGTCCTTTTCCTTGTACATCTCCTTGTCGTTTTCCTATTCCTTGTTCCTTGTCCTTGTCTCCTTGTCCTTTGTCCTTTGTCCTTGTCCTTGTCCTTTGTCCTTGTCCTTGTCCTTGTCCTTGTCCTTCTCCTTCTCCTTCTCCTTCTTCTCCTTCCTCTGCTCCATATCCCAACCTTACCCAGAGAAGGGTAAGGTTAATGTAAAGGGGAGCCAGTGCTCTCCTTCACATCATTACAATTTCCCTTTGATTTAAACACCTTCCCCTCATGAATGTCCACTCCCCCAGCCCCTCTTATAATTTTCCTCCCTTTTCCCTTCTATTTCCCATTTCCCCTGATCCATCCCGCTAACACCATTTCCCCTCCCACTCTGGGAACTGCCCCATCCCCGACCCATCCAGACTTGGAAAAGAGGCCAGGAGAGGCAGGAATAGATTGCAGGCGAGTTTATTGTGGGGAGCAGGGCGGGAGGGGCTGGCAGAGGGGCGCTGGGCAGGCCCCAGGCAGGCCGGGTGTCACGGGCTGCAGGAGGCCGGGGCAGCTTGTGGCGAGCTCAGCTTGTGCGGGCTGGGCTGAGGCGGGCGCGGCTGCTCGGGCTGGCCTCTGGCGGCTCTAGCAGGGCCCGCAGGTGTCCCAGAGCTTCTTGCTGTAGCGGGGCAAGGCGCAAGGGCTGCAGGCGGGAGCAGCGTAGGCTCTGCCAAAGGTGCACAGGCCCCCCGAGGCCTGGGTGGCGCCGGCGCCGTAGAGGCCGCCCAGCCCCAGGGAGCCGCCAAAGGCCGGGGCTCCGGAGGAGCCCACCACGGCTTGCTGGGGGAAGGAGCTGAGGATGGGGCCGGGGAAGGTGACCACCACGGGCGGCGGCTGGATCAAGGCCGACGAGTCGGGGCACTGGCGGGCGCACAGCTCGTTGCAGCTCTCAGCGATGGGCTGCGGCACGGCCACGCTGGTGCGAGGAGGGCACAGGTCCAGGCTGCTGCGAGGAGGGCACAGCTCGTAGCAGGACATGTTGGCGTGAGAGACGAGATGAGGCTGAAAGGCAATGGGGACAAGCAGCGGTTACAAGCAGGGCAGACAAGGGCAGCTCCCGCAGCAGCAGCGCCCCGTTCCCTGAGCGGCCAAAGCCCCCCAGCCTTGCCCAGCCTGCCCGGCCCTGGCCCCGTGCCCTGCAGCCCCCTGAGAGCCGCGATGATGGGCAGAGGCAGAGAGCTGCCAAAAATCCCTGCCCGAGCGAGTCCCTGTGCCCAGCCCGGCTCCGTCCGGCCCGCCCAAGGGGCTCCTTCCCCGCTCATCCCGACGAGGCTCGGCCGGGCCTGGCCGGGCCAGGCTGCTGCCAGCACGGCCGCTGCCCCGGCAGCTCCGCTGGCCACCGAGGGCCCTGGGCAGCCCCTGCGCCACGAGGCAGAGCCCCGCAGGCAGGCACCCACCTGCCCTTGGGCTGAGCAGAGCGAGGCCGCAGCGGTGGATGCAGCCCTGGCCCGGGACAGCGCTTTTATGGGCGGCCGCAGAGGCGGGGCAGGGGCTGCCCACGCT